GCTTGCTTTTTGTCTTTTTCATTTTCCAGATGTGATTCTGCTGTCACTTGTACCCAAACTTTCTAATTTGAGTTTAAAATTAATGACTTTTCAACTCTTATGTGGAAAACCTTCCCTTGCAGCCAGATGATTTCTAAAAAAGAAGTCTCAAGAACACCAACTCTGTTGCCCCCTCACAGGCTGGATCTGAAACAGGAGTTAGGAGACCAGGCAAGGGCGGGGGAGGTGGCTGGCACTTACAACCTAGGAAACTGTCAGGGACCACAAAGACAAGAAAATTGCCGCTCAATGAAGGAAGAATTTCTATTTCATTTCAACCCCTAACGGATCACACAACTCTAATGTCACTCCTGGTCCAACTGAAATAGTTGAATCCCCAAAATGTTTAAATCGTTGGGACTGTCTTCAAATGTGAATAAATCTCTTTAATCATCCTTCTCCTGATTTTTGAAAAAAAAAAAAAAAAAGAGACTAATATTGAATGTTAAGAGTCTCCTTGTGAATTTTTTTCCACTTTAAGATGTTTCTTTTTTCATGAGGTTGGTGACTGTTGCTTTCTTATCATTTACTTGTCCATCACTGTCTTGAAGACCCTAAACTTGTCTTAATGCATTTTTAATTTTTCATTTATTTATATATTGTGGACAGCAAGCAGATTGAATAATGACTCTTTGGACTTACTATGTCTTAGCCAGGCATGATGGTGCACACCTGTAATCCTAGGAGTCTGGGAAGCTGAGGGAGGAGAGTCAGAAGTCTGAGTCTACCTTGGGCAACTTAGCAAGACAGCGTCTCAATTATTTTTTTAAATGTAAAAGAGCCTGGGATAGATCTTGGTGCAAAGGTCTGAGTTCAATCCCCTGTCCTGGAAAAAAAAAAAGTCTTATGAAAAGGCCTTTTCATCACCTCCTCCCTAAGAGGGGGATGTGCTGTTTGGACCACATTTGGTTTCACAGCAAAAGAGTCCAATGTAGGGTCTCTTGGTGGAGGGATGAGCTAGCCATATTGACCCTGAGAGGGAGTCACAGTACAACAGCCCATTCAGACACACCTGGAAGGAAGGGGGCTTTCCCCTAATGGAGTGTTTTGGGTCACATCTGCTGGGGTGGGGGTGGGGGGTTCTTGAACTGAAACACTGACTTATCTGCATGAAATGGAGTGAGACAGGCTATGTTCAGATGTGCAGAACCTTCTCTTTGGTGTTCTCCTTTGGCAAAGGACACCTTCTCTAGAGAAGAAGAGTACAGCAAGATCCAGGAATGGCAAATCCACAGCACATCCACCTCTCTCCACCCTGCCGCTCATGACAGACATTATCAGTCGATTGTAGCACTCTTCCCTTCCTACACACAGAGGCCAGGCTTAAATTCACAATTTCTACTGAAAGTTGCGCACACAGCCACTATCAATTGATTGCAAAGAAGGGATGCAAAATAAAAATTATTTTCTACCTCTACTAGGCAAAAAAGAATGTACTTAGAGGCACTGAAAGATAATCATCTCCATATCCTTTTCCAGACTCTGCTTCAGTGCACCACATACTAATAAATTACCACAGCAATGGAGAATTCAACCTGCCCATTTGCCCAAAGTTGTGGAAGGGAAGAGGGAGAAGTCAGCTTTGCTTTGTACATAGCAGTTTGGTTTGAAAACTTGTCTCAGAGTTTCTGAGTGTGTGGAAAAAAGCAAATTGAGTGAATTACATTCTTTTACAGACAGAACCCAAAACTAGTTCTTAAGCAATGTGAGGATTTTTTTTTTTTTTTGTAATTTTCCTCTGGAAACCATGGAAGATACCTCCTGGCTTAGATTGTTTTCTGCTGCTATAACAAAATATCAAAGCCTGGGGAAGCTCACTCAGAGAACAAAGCCATTCCCAAGACAACACCATTAATCCATTCCTGTGAGTGAAGTCGTGGTGATCCGCTCACCTTTAAATGTTCCATCTCCCCATACTGTCACCATGGCAATTAAATTTCAACTCAAGGTTTGGAGGACACATTGAAACTCTCGCACCCCCACTAAAAAGAAAGTACTGTTTTTCCTCCTTGAATTCCCAGTTCGATTAATTATTCATTTTTTTCCCAAAGAAGCCCCTGATACTACTTTCTCTGTGAGATGGAGTTTAAACAATCTAGAACCAAAATTAATTCTACCATCTTATAATTTTTGCAGTAAGATGGGGGAAAATAGTATATGATTTTTAAGTACTTTCTACACTTGAGACTAAAAACAGCAGGCTTGTTTTTCTCTCTAAGCAAATGCAATTCTCTGGGTACTTACTGTAAGACGATTTTAGTGATTGGAGACATTTTCTTAAAAAAAGACCTCAAGTGAGAATCTTTCTTCACATTTTTCTCCTTCCAAAGGGATATTTACTCTGGAAAAATGCTACATTTAGAAAAATTGTGCTTTGGATGACAACTAGCCCACTAAGTTTTGCTGTTTTTGGTGGGGGAGTGGGGTAGATGAGGTTGGGGGCTGTGTGAAAGGAATTTTACTTACCCACCAGCCAAATATGACTTTGGAGTTCATTTTCATTTATTCATTCTCTCATTCATTTATTCAGTCAATCAACAAACACATAATGAAGGTCTGCCATACACTGAGAACTATGCCAGACAGTGGCATTCTAGTCAAACAAAACTCTCTTACGCCTCCTAAGCCTTCTAAACCCAGTACCGCCTGAGAATGAGACCCCAATGTCATAAAGCCTACTTCTCAACAGGGGGCGCTGTTTTGCACCAGGAAACTTGGACAAGGTCTGGAGACATTTTTGGTTGTCACAACGAAGGGATGATGGTACTGGCATCCCTGATACAAAGAGGTCAGGGATACTGCTAATTATCCTACAGTGCACAGGACACCTACCCACTGTCCTTGGGGAAACGGAGAAAATAGTAGCTCAACTCACTTTCTGCCAGGCTTTATTCTTCCCCAGAACTGTGACTGAGAAAGGTCAGTGCTATTGCTCCGTAGAACATGGCCTGTAGAACTCTCAGACCCAGCCTCCCCTGGAGCTGGTTAGAAATGCAGAGTGTCAGGCCGCTCCCTGGACCTGCTGACTCTGAACTTGCATTTTAACAAACCCAAGGGATTCGTGCCCACAGGTATAGTCTCAGGAGCACTGGCCCCATATGACATAAACAGAAGTTTGAAGTGACAATTTTGATAAATGCCACAGTGGGAGCCAGTCCCTGGGGTCAGGGAAGATTTCCATGAAAATCAGGCTAAAGCCGGATGTGGCGGTTCACACCTATAATCCCAGCACTCTCAGAGGCTGAGGAAGGAGGATCACAAGTTCAGGGCCAGCCTGGGCAACCTAGGGAGACCCTGTCTCACCATTTAAAAATTTTTTATAAAAAGTGCTGAGGATGTAGTTCAGTGTAAAGGCCCTGGGTTGAATACCCAGTAGCTCCACCCCAAAAAAGAAAAATCAGCCTATAAATTGAGTACTGAATGAGGAGCTGGAAGTAGCCAAGAGAGAGAGGGGCTCCTGGGAGAGGGAATAGTATGAACGGAAGCTTAGAGGCAGGAGGGAATGTGGTCCATTGGAAGGTCTGGAAAATGAGCTGGGTCCAGAGCCCTGTGAGGGTGGACTAATCAGATCTGAGCACCACAAGGCCAGCAGGACATGGGGGACTTTATTCCAGCAGCAGATGGGAACAATTGGTCTGAGTTTGATCCCTAAGCCTTTGTCTGGTATAGCCCAGGTAGGGATGCCATCTGTCACTACAGGACAGGGTGAGGCTGCCTCCTCAGCCCTTTGACATCATGTTCTAAGCAGCTGAGCAAACTGGTCCAACCAGGCTTGGAATCCCGCGAATGATAATTGTCCCAGGTGACCCGAAAGGACAACAATCCGGACAGGGATGACGGAGGGCTCCCCCACCCCTCCGACTGAAGGCTCCAGAGCCATTATGTCAATATATTTTTGTACAAATTTTGTAGTTTATGACGCATTCTGGCAACACTGAGATTCGATTTCAATGAGCCAGAATGTAGTACTATAAACCTAAAACTGGATATCCCTTAAAGCTGTTAGGATCTGGCAGGAGACCTGCTCCCAATTACAAGCACAGTTTCCAACTTCACTGTTCCAGTCCTCAAAGCAAGCACTGAAAACAAAATCCATTTTTAATGAGGGACAACCGAACACTTCACATTCTATGAATGTCCCCGTTGGGCTCACAGGCCCCGGTGTACCTGACAAGCAAGAAATGACCTCCGCTAACTGATTAGACTGGGGCATGGGTTGTCCTGCAGCACAGGGATTGTCGCCAGCACAAGAAAGGCAGCTGAATGAATGGGAATGAAGACATTTTGTTCTCACCCTTCTTGATTCCTATCAGCACGTGTGTGGATGGCCCATCGGGCAGAGGGGATTTGATCGCTTCAGTAGTGTGTGCCTGGCCACCCGGCTCCTTGTCCCTGCCTTATTACTTATCCCACAAACTGTCCATTATCCATTCAGCAACTGGGAAATGTGAACTTGGCCAACGTCAAGGCAGAGCGACGAGATCCAAGCCAGAAGAAGTGGGAGAAAGAGAGAAAGTACAAAGATGAGCCAGACGGCTCTCCAACCTGTAACAACATGTTGTATTTACCAGGCCTCGCACAAAAGCCAAACTCTGTGCTCCTTGTTTGTCCTCTGCTCGGGGCCTGGGTTATGTTTGGTGCAGCCAGGACAGTGCAGCACCTCGCTTCCATCTCTGTGATTGGTGTATTGTTTAGAGATGGTGAGGGATGATCTTAGGCTCTGGAGGAAGCTGGCGAGAAAGCTGAATTCTATAAAAAGAAATGCGCGGTCAGGATACGGTTTCCTATTCTGAGTCAAAGCGAAGGAGAGAGTCAGAAATTCCAACCCAGAGGGTCAGGATGGGCTCCAGGACCTCTTGAATCACATGTGAAGCCTGTTCCCCAAACTCCTCCTCCCTCCTCGTTGTTCTTACAACTGGCCAACTGGGATTACACAACCCACACTAATTTTATTCCGCACGCGGCTGTTTCTCATTAGAAGCCAGAAACTTATTTGTTCCTGCCCCATGCCATCCCCTTTTGATTCAGGTGAGTAATTCCCCCTCCGAAAAGGCCGATTCTGTTCTCACTCTTGGCTGGACTCAGAAAGTACACATGCTTTTTTGAAAGTGGGAACCTTTAGGTTTTTAGCCTTGTAATCTTCCAATTCTCTGCCAGATTCTCGATTTCCCCATTCTGAAGAGCCGGTGGAAAAGCAAACTTTTTTAGTCAACCGGCGTGATATTTTTAGTCACTCAATACACAACAACTGTTTCTAGAGGCCTTTGTTTTCTACCCCACTGGACTGGCACAGTTTTTAAAACTGAATTCACCAGATGTTTTGGCAGTGCGTAAAACCTGGCTTTCCTGTCTGCCAAGGGGGTGAAATTGGATCCAATCACAGCATGTTGCCTCAGCTCCACCGACCAAGTCCTTGGTGATTCTGGAGACAAATGTAAAGATGGAGTTCGGTTTTCCTTTAGGTGTTGGGACTACTGGATCCAGGCATTGGCGTTCAAGGCCTGGAGATGTTTCCAGGTCAACCCTAGATTCATGTATGAGTACGTTTTCCTGATGATACCTTTTTCCTTCCCTTTTGTTTTCCTGGCTGCATATCAGAAACTGCAAACCTGTGCCCCAGACCCTCTCCCGGTAGGATGAAGCGCAGGAATGGCAGGCACGTGACTCCACTGCATCTGGAGAGAAACTGCCAAGCAGCTCTCCTCTTGGCTTTGCAAGCCCAGGCCCCCTGAGCCTAAGGAGAAGCAGGCCTCTTCCATCTCCCCAATGCCTCTCCGCCCCATGCCCCATTTTACTTAGAACGAGCCCGAGCACGCATGCCACCTTGCCAGGCTTTGCCAGAATCTCCCAATAGTACAGCGCGCACATTACACAGATGGAATGCAACATACATGTAAAGAAATAAGAGCCCTGCCAGGAAAGTTGGCAGTGGCTCTGGAATGCTTTAAACAGTGTGCATGTGGGGAGAAAGAGTGAGCCCAGAGTCGGGGAGGCTGCCTCACTCCCAAGAGCTGTTTCTTTTACAGCCATGACCTGTTTTGCCAGTCAAAATAAATACGATGTTAAATGCCCCCTTTTACAGGCTTCTGATACCATGGCACTGCAGTTTGAAATATGACCTGCTCTTCTTGGGAAAATGTCATTTTAACTGAGTGGAGAGGATGTGCCCCTTCTACCCAGTAAGTAGGAGAGTCACGGACGGCAGAGTCTCCTCAACACAGACCTACTTGGGAAGGGGGAGAAGGAGGGGCCATGCAGTCAGCACAGCTTCTTGAGAAGTCGCTGCCTTGAGAAGGTTGGAGAAATGCCTTGGGAGCCTGGAGCCCAGATCCAGTTTTCTGTCCCTGTTGGCTTTCCCGAGAACAATAAAGCAGCCACCAGCAGGCCTGGCTATGTCACAAGACACGGGGCCTTTCCTGCCACCCAGGCATGGCCACGGATTGAACCCATGCGGGCCACTGTGCTGCTGTCATCCCCCCACCCCCACCCCCTTGGCCACGGCACCCTCTGTAGTCACAGCGGCAGCTTGTCACGAGCTAAATGGATTTGCCCAGAGGGTTTGCCATCACCCAGCCAATCATTAAGTAATCACTGCATACCAGGAGCATCACATGTCTTCTGAATCATCCCATTCTCTCCCAAGGGAAGTATGGTTCCACCTTTGCTTTACCTATGAGGAAACAGAGGCTGGGAGAGTCTGAGACACTTGCTCAGGATCTCATAGCTATGGAAAGGGAAGCCAGAATTTGGACCCAAGTCTGCTCCTACAGATCGAGCAGTTAGGGCCCCATGCTGGCTTCTACCAAAATATCTCCAGGCAAGAATTCTGCAGAGTTTTCTTCATCCTCAGAAATGCCCCAGGGTAGGCAAGGGATTGCATTCCCCACGGAAGATCCCACAGCGTGTGTGACTTTCCTGGGGCTGCTGTGTACAAATGATCACCAACTAGATGGCTTAGAACAACAGAAGTGGTGATTGGAGATGCAGCTCAGTGGCTGAGCATGTCTTGAGTTGGTAAAGCTCTGGGCTCAATCCTCAGTCTGGATTCATGGTGTGGGATGGGGTGTTCTCCCTCCAAAGGCTCCAGAGAAAACCTTTCCCTGTCTCTTCCAGCTTCTGGTGACTTCCCTTACTTAGGGCTACATTCTTCTGGTCTCTGCCTGCCTTCAGATAACCTCCGGTGTCTGTCCTCGACCCTTCTCTCTTCGAGGACATTTGTCACTGGGTTGAGAGCCGATCTTAATTCAAGATGATGTCACCTCAGGTCCTTAACTTAATTACACCTGCAAAATTCTTCCTCCAAATAAAACCACATGTCCAGATTCCAGGGATTTGACCCTAGATTGCTTGGGGAGGAGGGGTGTCCATTTTTCAGCCATTCACACAGAAAGATATGAATGACACATGAGGTACTTTATCCAACAAAGATCTTTACAATTTTGCAGATCTGCATGGTTGATTATATCATTTTTGTCATATTTTCAGCATCCTATTTCCTCTTTTGAAAACAATGAGTTTGCCGGGCATGGTGGCACACGCCTGTAATCCCAGCACTCGGGAGGCTGAGGCAGGAGGATCACCGCAAGTTCGAGGCCAGCCTGGGCTATGAAGGGAGACCCTGCCTCAAAAAAACCAAAAAATACAAAATAAAAAATAAACAACAAATAAACAAACAAAAAACCAATGAGTTTAATAACATTGCCTATCAAATTCTACCACTCAAAAAATGTCAGGCAGTCTTCACAGATACCTTATAACACAGACACTATTGTTTCCTTGCTGGACAGGGGAGGAAAAGAAAATTGAGTAGTTAAGAGCCTTTTCCAAGATTTCATGGCCAGGAACTAGCCAAATGGATTAAAACTTTATCTGTCTGGAGTCAAAGTTCTTAGCAGGCAAAAATTGCCTTTGCTTAGGATTTCAGGCTTGGGAAAGTATAGTTTGGAAGACGGCAGAGGTAGGGGTGATGGGACACTTTATGCCATGTTTAGTCAAAAAACTATTCTTGGGCAGAACATCCAGGAAGGTGGAAGTCCTGCCTTTTGATTGTGAAGGCAAATGATGAGGTGGTTTATATGACAAGGCACAGGATCACTAACCTGTCTCATGGCTATAGCTGGTGACCTCCTGTAGAGACACAGGAAGTTGGAGGCAAATGAGAAATTCTTTTCATTGTCTTCCAGATTTCGATCCAGTGTCATCTGCCAGTGGTTATATTCATATTGCAGGGAACTTTTCCTTTTTGTTGTGTAACCATCTAATCCAGTAGATCATGGAAGACAAAACCAGAGCTGTTCCCCTGCGAATGGCAGGTGATTTCTTTCCCTGTTGCCTGGTGGCCACATCCACCAAATTCAGGCTCCCTGGTGAACAAGATCCAGCTTCGGTCACTGTTGTTGCTGCTGGTGGCTGCGCACTTTGCAAGCATTGTTTCATTTGAGCTTCTTGGGAACCCTGAAAAGCCAGGTCGATAATTCCTAATCTGATGCTCAGGGAGGTCAAGTTTCTCGGCCAAATCTGACATTTGACAAGTGCTAGGGACCACCCCCCCCATCAAGTTGCCTGAGTCCAGAGTCTGAGATCTCAGTTGCTGCAATACTCTCTCTCTTTAAATCCACGTGTGGAGAATTCCCAGCACCTGGAAGGAAATATGGCTCTGGTAAAGAGGAAATGCACCCATCCATCCATCCATCCATCCATCCACACCTATGCTTCTGTGTTTGTGATCTATGCTAGGAAAACCTGTAAAGCGATCCCTGCATTCATGGGCAGGGTCTGTGTGTGCCTGGCACCCTCGGGGACTCTGAGAACAGGAGATGGGAAATACTACACAACCCATCAGTTCACCTAGGCCAGTGTGGCAAATTCTATTAGAGAGATGTGGGAGGAGACAAGAGGCGGTCAGCCGGGCTTCCTGAAGGAGAATGAAAGGAGGAAGACGGTGTCTTGCTGAGGAGAAAAGGCAGCCCCACATTTATGCGGGGCTTTGAGGGGCAGGAGGAATGTGCCAATTTGACAGTGATGGGCAAACCAGCAGACGCCTCTGGATTGAGGGAGCTGGAGTCGGTGTTCTGAGGCCTCTCCTGGGACTCCGTCCCTTACCTGTGATGTAGAAGCTAGAGGGTTAACCCAGGGCCCAGCAGGGAGCTCCAGGGCTCTGCTCCTTTCTCCTGCTTTAGTCTTTCCTGTTGGTGCTGGTGCCACACTGGGTGCTCCATATTCAGCATGGCTGGACAATAGGGAGCCACGGAGGTGCTGGAGGTGAGGTTGGAAAATGAAGACCGAGCTGGGGAAGGACCTTGTGTGACTTGTGACAGCAAAGAGACTTAGAAGATAAAGAGTGCCTTTGGGGACTTCTAAGACATGCTATTTTTTTTTTTATTGTTGTGTAATTATTCACAGTTTAATGCATTCCTCTTAAGTCTATAGTTCAATGTTTGATGGACTTTGACAAATACACAACTGGTCTGACTACCACCCCTCTATAGACACGAAGAGTTACATTTGCACTGGGAAAGGGTTTTTCCTGCTCTTTTTTTTTTTTGAGACATGGTCTCACTATGTAGCTCAAGCTGGTTTCAAACTCATGGTGATCCTCCTGCCTCAGCCTCCCAAGTGCTGGGATTACAGGCATCCACCACCACATCTGGCCTTTTGCTCATTTCTTGAACCCTCACCCATGTGTGCTGAGCACTGCTCTGGCTGTAGAGGTACAGGACCCACAGACTACCTGTACAGGCTACCAGGAGGAGACCCCCCCTTGGGGGAAAGCCCAAAGGCAGCCAATGGTATGTGGCTTTGGGTTAAAGCTTTGCTGTCATCATGTGGAATGCATAACAATGCATAACACTTCTTATGTTTTTATTTTGTGCTGGTCCCTGTGAACAACACAGCCAGGCCTGATGGTACAAAGGAAATTAACAGAAGCCATGAGAGAGAGGATATGGAGAGTTTCAAAGAAAAGACCCTGTGAGGGCTAGGCATGGTGGCACATGTCTGTAATTCCAGGATTCTGGGAAGCTGAGGCAGGAGGATCACAAGTTCCAGCCCTGAACAGGTAACCTGATGACTTAATGAGATCTTGTCTCAAAATAAAAAATACAAAGGGCTGGGGATATAGCTCAATGTGAAGGCCCTGCATTCACTTCCCAGTATTACAAATAATTACATACATACATACAATTTTTTTTAAAAAAGAAAAAGAACAGGGCTGGGGATTTAGCTCTGTGGTTCCCCTGCCTGCCTTGTAAGCACAAGGTCCAGAGTTCAATCCCCGTTACAAAAAAAAAAAAAAAAAAATGTCACCAGAAAAAGAACAAAGACCTGAGAGGAAAGAAGCCAGCTAGGTGGAGCATGAGGGTCCCAAAGACCAGTTCCCCCAAGTTTTCTTTCTAGGGATGCACAGAAAGTGGTGGAGACATTTCAAATCTTGGCTCTTCCTGCAACTCTGCCCAGAGCACCAGTAAATGTGTATGGGCTCAATTAATTACAATGAGAAACACATTTGACAAGCCAAATATTAGTTCGCAAGAACAGACTACACTCATAAGTATTAAGTACAGATACAAAGAATTAACAATAAGTTTGCTGGTGTTATTATCTTCTAATTAACTGTAAAAAAAGAAAAAAAGAAATCAAACTTTAATCCAGAGCAAAATGAAAATGGCAGGAAAGCAAGACCTCTGTCGGCTTCAGGAATGGAGGGGCATCACCAGCAGGGTGTGGTGGGTTTCCATGGGTGCTGATTAATTGCACCAGCCTCGCTTTGCTGACCTCAAAACCCAAATAAGTACTGTGGTCCCTACTTCTCCCTGCTGAGGCCAGATGTCCAAAGGAAAGAGTTCAGCAGCGGGCTGACAGGAGGCCTAATTACCAGGGGTGGGAGGAGTGAAGTTGGCATTCCCTTGCCAAAATCCATCTCCAGCATCCTTGGGCTGACCTCTTGTCTCTGGAATTTGGAGCCAAGGGAAGGAGTATAGAAAAGAATCCAGTTGTCTCTTGGCCATTGGTTTTTCTCCCTCAAAGGGATTCCAGGGTTGGCAGTTTAACTGAACACCTCCAAATACCTGGGCTGCAGCGAAATTGCCAGTAAATATTTCCAGAGCCAGGGAATCTAGAAACAAATATTTTCCTGACTGATATATTTTCCATACACTACAAGAAAGAAGCTTTTGCAGTTACGTGAAGAACTTGGCCAGGAGATGGCTATTTGGGTCTAAATCATGTGGGTTCTGAAGCCCTTGTCTCCGTTGTGTCAAAGCCTCGTTCCCTTTGGTGGCCTTCATTATTCGCTCAAACCAACAGGGAAGCTTGATAGCTTTTCTCCTGCTCACTTCCCTTTTCTCTCCTGATCGGCTCCCGGGGAAGCACACTGTACCCATCTTGTTGATAATCACGGCCACCATTATTCCACCCTAACTGCATTCAGCGTGGTGCTGAGAGCCAGGCCTGCCTTGTCTTACTTAATCCTCCCCCTAGGAACTGGTGTGGGCTCTGCCTTTAGAATGTACTCAGAACCTGGCCACTGCTCACCAACTCCATCTGCCTCGCTGGTCCCAGCCCCAATCTTCCTTCACCTGAATTATTGAACTAGGTTCCAAACTGGGCTCCCCGATGCTGCCCTTGTCTGTCTCTGGTCTGTTTTCAACACTGCAGACTGAATGATTTGTTGGCTACACAAGACAGCTGAGGACACAAAACTCCGAGGGCTCCCCCATCTCACTGCGAGCAAAATCCAAAGTCCTCACTGTGGTCCACAGGATCAGCTCCTTCTATTCTGGTCCAGGCACACCAGGCTCCTTTCCTTTCCAAGAGCAGAAAGAGCTCCATCCTCAGGGCCTTTGCACTACCTATGCTTCTTCCCCCAAGATGTCCATAGGACGTGTCCCTCTCTTCCTTCAAGTCTGTTCAAATGTCACCCTCTTAGAGGACCTTCTGTCTACACCATTTAAATTCAGCCCTCCTGTTATATATTTTCTCCCATAACTAATCACCATCTATCTTGTAATTATGGTATTTGTTTTGTTTTACTGTTCATCTCTCTTCACAAGGACAGGGATTCTGGCCATTTTTGGCACCATGAATTGTATGCAGCATACCACAGGTGTACAATAAGCATTTATCGAATGAATGAATGAATGAATGAGTGAGTGACTCACCAACTGTGACCTATAATTGGTCCTAAATTTTAGAGGAGGAAACTGAGGGACCCAGAAAGTTTGGGTAACTTTTTCAAGGTAAATGAGTTAATCCCATTTGGGACCTCAATCCAGGTCCTGCCAACCCAAAGCAACTTAACTACTATGTTTACAGCATGTGTTAAGCTAACCCCCCTTACCATAGGCGGATGATCTCAGCCTACCATTCAGCAAACACCCATCTCAAGGGCCAGCTCACGTATATGCCACTTGACCAACTCAGGGTTAGTCAGAATTGTCAAATTTCGACAATGCACTAGATCAGGAAACTTACATGAGCAATCCCAAAATAACCACATAATTAATGTATTATGAGTAACAGTTCTAAGAGAAGTGGGATCTTAGAAGTGGGGCTTTTTAAGTATAGATAAGGAAATTACATAGTAATTATCTTCATCTCAGGGGACAAAATAGAGGAGTTCAGGGGACGTTTTCTCTACTCATGGCTCATCATCCTCTATGT